TTCTCAGGCTTGCAATGCAGTTCTGCAGGAAACACAAGAGGTTCTTCCCACCAGCTCTATTTGACCGGATGGAAGATTGCCCTGCTGCTTAGTCTTGGGTATAAAAATATGCTCAGCAGAACAAATGTCATATATGGCTAAAAGTATGGAGCCAGAAGCGAAGAGACTTAAGTTTTTCCAGTTTTTTTTTTTTTCAAGGGGAGCGGGATAAAGATGTAAAAATCAGTGCTTTGGTTTGGATTCCTCTGCAGGCTTTGGAAGTCATCAAGCAGCTGAAAGAGACGATGCAGATTGAGCGGGCACACATGAGGCTACGCTTCCTCCTCCCTCGGAAAGAAGGCAAGAGATTGAAAGAGAAGTTGAAGCCACTGATCAAAGTAATCGAAAATGAGGATTTTGATGAGCAGCTGGAAATTGTAAGCAGCCGAGTGTCCTTCCCCCAGTCTTTTGTTTAGGAAAAAAGCTTAGTGCTGTGCCTTTGGTTTTGTAGAAGAAGGTTTATACTCGAAGTGTTGGAGTATAGATATAAGGACAGTGATATTTACACTGCAGTCCTTTGCACGATTGCTTGTGAAGGAAACCTCATTGGTTCTTGCAGAAGATGTTTTAAAACATCTTATTGGGATAAGCACGCAGCAGTAAGGCAGTATGGTAAATGAGCATTTAAGACCACAGCAAAAGATAGGGATGCTGCAAAGATTCCATTGTGACACATCAGCACTTCTTTTGTCTTCCAATTCAAGAGAATGTGGCAATTTTCGGTGAACTGCAGTCTTCGGTTTTTTAACATAATTGGGTAGAAGTGTAATATATAGACATCCCAGTCCAATTTAGTGTTCTTTCTCCATTCCATTTAAAAAATACCCTGAAGCTGGTAAAATTTCTAAAAGGGGCAAATCAAAATACCCAAGGGACTATAACAGTTTTTTGTGGGGGGCACAACAGCTTTATGAAATTAGCCATGGAATGGTGAAAAGAGTGAGCGATAATCTAATTCTCACATTGCAAAAACTTGAAGTGACATGAGACTAATTAGCAAGAAATTCAAAACAAAGAAATTTGTATAATATGCAAGTAGTTGTTGTTTAGTAACTACAGATGGAACCAGCAACCACTTAGTCTTATTCACCAGGGCAGTTCTTCGTAAGATGTGGCCTTTCCAGTCTCATGTAGTGCTAATGTTGCAGGTGTGCCTTGTGGATCCAGGCTGCTTCCGGGAGATTGATGAATTGATCAGGTGTGAAACCAAAGGCAAAGGAACCCTTGAAGTTCTCAGCCTAAAAGATGTGGAAGAAGGTGATGAACGCCTGGAATAATTGGGTGCTTGTTGCTGTGCAAAGATTGTATTAAAAGGCATCCTAGAGTTGCCTCATTGAGGGTTGACGTTGCTCTTTTCCATTTTAGGTTTTATGTAGTTATTACTAGTCCTCTGTCCCTTTCCCAAACTTTGATGGTTGGTATCAACTAAAGGTACCTTATAAACACACTTAGCTCTTAGATTACCTGATAACAAAGGGATTTTACACTGAGTTTATTCCTATATTGGTTGTTTGAGAGTAACTGCAAAGTGACAATTTTATGTTATGTGCCAAAATGCCTTTCCTTAAAAGCAGGAGGCTTCAAGGAAGGAATTGACTGCAGAATTAGCATCATGAGTTAATAACTCAGGTTTCCTCAAATCAAGCAATGTCTTGATTTGCCAGCAGGATTTGTAAAATATAAGATAAACAGCCATTGGTTGCTTCGAATGATGTGACCGCACAAGTATAATATTGTCCTAGTTATAGAATAGCCCAATTCTGTGGATGGAGATTTACAAGCCACCAGAAGATTTCAGTGGCCATCTTTCCAAAACCAGTCTTGGAATTTATTGGGTTTGAACCCATTATTTACTCCAGGCGAAATATTAAAAATACTGACTTGACACTGAAAGCAGAAGTTGTTGGAAAATTTATTTTGAAAGAAAATTACAATAACTTAATTTAGAAAACATTTGTTATAACCAGACAACCTTTAAATCCAAGTAAAAGAATTCATTTGGCTCCAGTGATATTTTAGCATTATTATTTGTTATACTAATTTAATATTTAAGAGTAAGCCAAAAGAGCAGAGATCAGTTCATTGTTGACACAAAACTCTAAAGTGAGTTTGATGTCTTATGAGTAAACTAATAGGGCTGCTGTCAAAAAGAACAAAACATGCATTGCCAGATATTTGTCATTTTCTTATAATCCTTGGAATTCATAGTGCAAACTATAAGAGGATTCTTTGAGGAAAGCTGCACTTTTTACTTTCTCAGACACTTTAAAGTTCTCATATATATTATAAATATCGATGTATAACATCACAATCATTTCTATTATAGAATGTCAAACTTAAGTTTGGAAATTCTTAGATTTTTAAAATGAGTTCTCTAATAATTTAAATCAATTACAGTTTATAAGCTGTCATTAATATGCCAAGGAAGATACCAAAGCATAGGTGAGGAGATGTTTCCATGATGCCTTTTCTGGACTTTTTTTTTAACAATAAGCACCTTCCAGCTATTATTCTAATCTCCAACCCACAAAGTTCAGTAGTTTTGTGTCAGTGATTTAATTTTTTCAGCTACATGACTAACAAGAGCTTCAAGGTCTTCTACTCACAAAGTTTCTTTATATGAATAAATTTTACTGCTTCTTCCTCTTCCTCCAGACTTTTTTTTTTTTTTGTGATAAGCTCTCTAATATCCTGTAGCCTCCACTTATGTGGCATGGATACATAAACTTGTGTTTCTTGATGACTCTGCTATATGTTAGCAAATGATGAGGGAGAAGGAAGACGAAAAATATATCTGCCAGACTCTATATCTTTACACAAAGGGAAAAAACAGTTCAACCTATAAAAAAAACAATACTGTAAAAAACAGATTAGAAACACAAGTTAAGATAGGCAAGAAAATGGTAAGTGAGCACCTGTCCAGCCTAGGGGACTGGAGGCTAAAGCATATAAGGAACGGTTGCTGGAATTGGATATGTCTAGTTTAACAAAGAGAAGGACGAGGGGGGACATGATAGCAGTGTTCCAATATCTCGGGCTGCCACAAAGAAGAGGGAGTCATGCTATTCTCCAAAGCGCCTGAAGGCAGGACGAGAAGCAACGGGTGGAAACTAACCAAAGAGAGAAGCAACCTAGAACTAAGGAGAAACTTCCTGACTGTTAGAACAATTAACCAGTGAAACAACCTGCCTCCAGAAGCGGTGAATGCGCCAACACTGGAAGTTTTTAAGAAGAAACTGGACAGCCATTTGTCCGAAATGGTATAGGGTTTCCTGCCTGAGCAGGGGGTTGGACTAGATGACCTCCAAGGTCCCTTCCAACTTTATCATTATTATTATTATTATTAGATGAGTTCAAATCACCAGGACCACCCCAAGGTTCTCAAGGAACTGGCAGATGTGATCTCAGAACCACTGAACTATATCTTTCAAAGATCCTGGAGCACTGGGGAACTACTAGAGGACTGGAAAAGAGCTGATGTAATTCCCATCTTCAAAAGGGGGGGGGGGAATGGATCCAGGAAACTACAGACCTAGCGGCCTGACCTTAGTACTTGGGAAGATTCTGGAAAAGATAAACAATGAATCAGCAAACACCTAGAGGCAAACAAAGTCATTACCAAAAGCCAACATGGGTTTGTCAAAAACAGATCATGTCAGACAAATCTTACTGCATTCTTTGACCAGGTGACAAAATTAGTGGACCAGAGGAATGCTGTGGATATAATTTACTTGGACTTCAGTAAGGTATTTGATAAAATAGATTACAACCTACTACTTGATAAGATAGAAAAATGTGGATTAGACAGATGGATTCGTAGCTGCTGACCAGCCATACTCAGCATGTGGTCCTCAATGGAACTGCATCTACATGGAGGGAAGTGTGTAGTGGGGTGCCCCAGGGCTCTGTTCTGGGCCCAGTGCTCTTCAACATCTTCATCAATGATTTGGATGAGGGGATAGATGGGGAACTCGTCTAATTTGCAGACAACACCAAGCTGGCAGGGATAGCAACACTCCAAAAGATAGGCTTAAGATACAGAAGGATCTTGACAGACTTGAACATTAGGCACAGATAGAACAGATAGAATTTGATCGAATACTCTTAAAAACAGATGAAAACTTGATTAAGAAACTTTACAGATTTCTTCTAAATTTGAAGATGGAAGGAGGAGGATCTGGACAGACTTGAACACTGGGCACTATCCAACAAAATGAAATTCAATGATGAAAAAAATACGGTTCTACATTTAGGCAAGAAAAACCAAATGCACAGGTATAGTATAGGGGGTACCTTGCTCAATAGTAGTAACTGAGAGGGACCTCGGAGTCCTAGTGGACAATCACTTAAATATGAGCCAGCAGTGTGCTGCAGCTGCCAAAAAGGCCAACACAGTGCTGGGCTGCATTAACAGAGGGATACAATCAAGATCATGTGAAGTATTAATACCACTTGGTAAGGCCACACTTGGAATACTGCATCCAGTTTTGGTCACCACAATGTAAAAAAGATGTTGAGACTCTAGAAAGAGTACAGAGAAGAGCAATAAAGATGATTAGGGGACTGGAAGCTAAAACATAAGGAACGGTTGCTGGAATTGGGTATGTCTAGTCTAATGAAGAGAAGGACGAGGGGGGACATGATAGCAGTTTTCTAATATATCAGGGGTTGCCACAAAGAAGAGGGAGTCAAGCTATTCTCCAAAGCACCTGAAAGCAGGACAAGAAGCAATGGATGGAAACTAACCAAAGAGAAGCAACCCAGAACTAAGGAGAAATTGCCTGTCAGAACAATCAGTGGAATAACCTGCCCCCAGAAGCTGTGAATGCCCCAACACTGGAAGTTTTTAAGAAGAGATTGGACGGCTATTTGTCTGAAATGGTATAGGGTTTCCTGCCTGAGCAGGGGGTTGGGCCAGATGACCTGCGAGGTCCCTTCCAACATTATTGTTATTGTTTTATTTTTATTATATAGCAGGATCATCTTTGAGTTGTATTTCTCCTATCTGGGAAGCAAAGAACTGTGTTCTCTTCCAGAACCTCATAATTTTTTGACTCCCCATCAAGTATATTGGCTCAAATTCATGGAAGCCTTACTGTTTCATCCATATATTTTACTCTATTTTTTTCCGTCTGAGTGCCCTTCAAGTATCTGCATTTCCTAGAATTTAATAGCCAGCATGGTCAAGTCTATCTATATATGCTGGGAGAAGCTATCTACCAATTCAGAGAGACTCTTCAGGTTGATTTTTAGTCCTCATTGTAGGCCCTAACTCAGTTCTGCAACTGGCTTTTCAGTTCTGCAACTGGCTTTTAACTTCATTAAGTAGAATATGAGCAACTAAGCAATAGGGACAAATGTTTTCCCTTTTAAAAAACTAATTTAGGCAACAATGTTTTCCAGTGTCATCACTGTTATTATTCCCACATTACCTCCACAATTCAGAAATTGACTTCCAGTATCACTTTTTTTGTAAGTGACACTAAAGATAACCACAGATAACCACAATGCTATAATTCTGAGTATTGGGATAAAATGATATAAGGTTGCTTGACAGCTGCTAATATCCTCCCAGTAAGATAACCCTCCTCTCACCTAACCTAGGAGCAGAGGATGAACTGAAAAAGTGAAGGCCAAGTGTTATTTCAATGAGTCAGCTCACAAAGCATGTACCAAATGCATTCTGTTTAGAAGTTGGCTTTATTCTCCTGGGTCAGGTACTACAAACTTACATAGTAGAAATGGCAGCTCTGTTGAATGTTAAATGACTTGTTTTCTGTCTAGCCATTTGAAGCTTTTATGTGTGTAATATTGCAAGAAAGCATGGCTGCTGTAAGAAAAAAACCACGAGCAAGCTATGATCGGAAACAGCCAGTTGACATGTCAACTGGAATCAAATAATTGAAGAACACCAGTGCCAAGAAAGCTTCAACAGCAGTCTTTTGTTTAGGCTGGCTTGTAAGGGAAACTAAACCTATTTCTAGCCTTATTAATTGGCTTATTTTCCTGCCATCTTCTCACAGGAAGAGAATAAAATTTTTGATGAAAGATTATGTTGCTTTGAATTTTAAGAAACATAAAACAGACTTTTTATTTAGATACTGACATTAAAATAAACTTATTGTTACCGTTACTTATTTCTTATTCCAAACTCATTTTTTTTGTAAAAAAATAAAAATAAAAATAGAGCCTCATTCATCATAGGATGAGTTACAAGTTAAATAACAGCCCAGTCCTAAGTTTGTTTTCTCAGAAGGAACTCCTGTTGTAATAATTAAAACTGGCTGCAGTTCTTTATATGCCAGAACAATAAATATGTTTACATTTGAGCATACAGTATGTGAATTTTCAGCAAAAGAATTTTGTGAAACAAGCACAAACAGTTTTAGCTTAAGGACATATATAGCATGCCCACTGATTCTATTTTAATAAACAGATTTGGGCATTTAAAATTTGTCCTTTAATCATAGAAAAACATGAAAATAATAGTTGTAGAACACTTTACAAAAATAAAAATATTCACAGTCATAAATTTACATTTTCACTTTTATGAAAAATCCTAAATGTACAGGCCCTTAATCTAGTTAATTGTGATATCCCATTGCTTTTAATGAAATTTAACATCAACTTGTTTATAATTCTTAAATGAATATACAACTTAGTTCTTAACTCCCAAGTAACTTAATAGAATTGCTGATTTTGGGAACAGACAGACTAGATCTGTTTGAATTTCTTAAGATTCTTCTTACAAACTTACATTGGCATGACAAATCTTCAGGTAACCCAATAGAAATGTTCAATTACTTTCAAGACAATATATTAAATATAGCAAGATGTATTAGACTTGCAGACTTAGATCTCTGGTTGGCTAGTATTGCCTATTTCTATATCAGAATATGAGCACCAGTTCCTAGAAATCAAAAAGGAATGTTTCCATTCTTATGCTTTAAGCAGGAGCTGCATTTTTTCCAGAATATGAAAGTAGTCTAGAAATCTTTGGATGGATAACTTGAGTCGGATAACTGATCATTCTGTTTAAAGTGCTTCAGATATAGATCACATCTGTTTTGTGTTGTTGCACCTAAGAAGCCATAAAGAAAGTATAAGAAAGATATTTGGGTTTAAGACAAATAGACTACATAACTGGAACAGAGGAGTTGAAACACAGGGCTTTTTTTGTCATAGAACGCCCAGAATGGAGTTCCGGCACCTTTCTTGGATGGAACCTTGTAGGGTAGGCAAGGCGGGTTGAATGACATGTGTGAGTTCCAGCACCTTTTTTTTTTTTTTTTACAAAAAAAGCACTGTTGAAACATATTAAAAGTACAGAATAAAAGATGATATGCTGCTAAAAAAGGGCATCAGTCTATATAAAGAAGCAGTCCAAAATTGTTATTGGAACAGGAATAAAAAGGAATCTTTCACCACTTCCTACAGCCAAGAAGTGAAGAAATCATTTCTAAACCATAGTTGTATAATGGATCAATAAAAATGTTCACATACAACAGGTGTGATTGGTATTTGAAAAAGGCATTCTTTCTCTCTTTCTCTCTCTCTCCTCCTCCTCTTTCCCTTCATGGAATGCTGTACTCTCCCCTCATCCAATAGCTCACAGAGATAGAAGGTAACTCCATTTATCAAGTTAAAAATTTATATTGGGCCAACTTAAATAAAAAATGTGCTAGCTTTGAAATCGCTTCATTTGGCAAAAATAGCATTTCAAAAATGAGTTGCGAAGAAAGAAGAAAAAAGTCTGACATTACACGGAACTTAAAAATTCTGATCACAGGACTATCATATTGACTCAGCATTTTCCTTTCCCCCTTTAATACTTGTTTTGACAGTACTGGTAAGTCAGTACAGGTAGTCCTCAACTTAACGACCACGATTGAGCCCAAAGTTTATGTTGTTAAGTGAGAAATTTGTTAAGTGAGTTTTGCCCCATTTTACGACTTTTCCTGCCACATTTGTTAAGTGAATCACTGAAGTTAAGTCAGTAACATGGTTGTTAAGTGAATCTGGCTTCCCCATTGTCTTTGCTTGTCAGAATGTCGCAAAAGGTGATCACATGACCCCAGGATATTGCAACCGTCATAAATATGAACTAGCTGTCCAAGCATCCAAATGTAAATTATATGACCATGGGGATGCTTGGTCATAAGTGTGAAAAATGGTCATAAGCCACTTTTTTCAGTGCTGTTGTAACTTTGAATGGTCACTAAATGAACTGTTGTAAATCGAGGACTACCTCTATTGACTGACTGACAGGGAGTAGATCAGTCAGTTGGATCCAGGAGCTGAATGGTACCTCCAAATTCAATGGCACATGGAAGATAAGGAACAAGGAATAACTACACTTTGTGTCCAGCTCACAAGTATCCCAAAGCATCCGTGTGGCTTCTAGAACAAAAGCTCAAATCAGTGGGCTAACTTAGATCTTGAGAACCTACTGTTGTATAAATACTTCATTGAGATAAAGACACATAATCCAAGAAAAAGACTGGTAATTAGGACATTGTATGATATGGAATACAGAAAATGAAATTCAAATCCGGTTACCTTAATGTGCTTTTGGTGTCCTGTTCCCACGTTATTGATAACCAGGGGATGGGTTGGAAAAGAGTTTTCTGTTGCTGCACTGGGCATGGTATTCTCAATCACGTTTAGCAGGCATGATGGTGAAAAGGACTGTTGCAGATTATTAAACAGGTCTCCTTCAAGGGTTTTCATCCAAACAGGAGCCTTTTAAAAAGCAGTACATTAACCATTAATTGAGGTTTTAAGTTAATTCAGGATAACACTAAACATTTTGAAAGCCAGCATGAATCCAATTTAACTCTCTTGGCCTGGAAATAGTCCCTTTATGAAGGACTGAAGTGCTTTAGTGTGAAATTCACAAATTATTATTTCCAGAAGTCTTAATGATTGAAGTACAGAACATGTATTATGTAATGTCCATGAATAACATTAGGAATATTGTATTGGCTTGGATAACACATAAAATCAACTCAGGATTCTACAAAAATCCTACTATTAAATTCAAGAATCCTATTATTAGATTCAAGAATCCTATTATTACATTCAAGTGTTTTTTTCTTCTGGAGAGTCACCTTCAAAAAACGATCAGGTTGAAGCATCTCTAAAAGCAGCTTCATAGAGATAAACCACAGAAACAACTGTACAATTAGTCACTCTCCCTGAAAGAGTAGTTACCTAAGGATTCGGCAGCATAAGAAGAATGTAAAAGATTAATTTCACAAGTTGGGATGATTGGGTGATAGAACTGCCATTCAAAACATGACAATGCAAACTCCAGCTCCAAATTTGTGTATTTCAAAAAGAAGAGGAAATTGGGGGAAGGATTTACGCAGCACAGGTAAAAGGACAAGTATGGGAGAATCCTAGCCTAGAGAAACCTCCATGTCTCAGGGCTGGGTATATATCTTGTATTATTTAGAAATCATTTTAAAACATTTTGTTATAAAAGTCCATTTGTTGGGGAGAGCTGTTTAAATGTTAGCCAATTTACTTCACTATCCTGTGTTTTGCTCACATTACATTTAGCCACATTACCTTAGAGATATGAAAATATACAGAAGAAAAAGTATTTCTAAATCAGAAAATAGTTTAGTGGAGACGATAAGAAAAACATCCTGTGGAGATCTCTGAGAGCTTAGGGGATTTTGCTTAAGGCTAAGGACAAAGAAAATAAGAATGGGGCAATAGGCTCTGCCTTGTTTTGACCCTTTACTGATATTCCTGCTAAAATACACAAGACTTATCAAGCTCAGTGCCTGGTCTTTCTTGCTTCAAAGAGCAGATACAGGGATTAAGAAAGCCTCCTTCAGCTGAACCTGAAATGCTGCAGTTGGTTAATACAGAATAAGAGAAACAAATTTTAAAAAGTTTAATCTGGTGGAAAACAACTTCTATTGTACTCAGTTAAAGTACTTTAGGTCAAACCAGTTTGGCTAGTTAGTAAAATCTTTTTAATCTGTATATGACTAAGACCAATTTGTTTTTAAGATGGTTTGCTTCCTTCAACATGAGAAAAGAGCTAATCGCTCAATAAAGTAAACTTTTTCTAACACAAACCATCAGCAGTTATTATACTTTTTAAAATATATTAAGAAATGTAGTCAAGTAAACTTCAATACTTAATTTCATTGGATAAAGGTGAAATCCATTCCTACTTGTCAGTTTTTATTGTCCGCGGTCTTAATCACTGGAATCATTGTGACAGTCCTAAATATTTCGGCCACAGATCCAGGGACATATTACAAAAAAAAATCATTGTTTTTAAACCAAGCTTGCAAGTCCCAGGAAGACACCTCTAGTTGACTCCTGAAAGAGTGCTAAAATGAGGTTATTGTATGCATTTGTTACAAATTTAAGAAAGAAATGCTTGACTATATAGGAACCTTGTATGCCTTCTCTGATGAATGGTCCAAAGAGTCAAGGATTATGTTCCAATGAGAAAGAAACCCGGCATGTTTCTCTTCCAGTTTGAGAGCATGGATTTCAGTCTTGAGTTCTTTTAGCCGATCTTCAAACTTTCTACTCTTATCTAAGTAGTCTAACCTGTGAAGCACAGACAAAACAAAAAAGTAAACAGAGTAGAGATAATCAAATGGTCTGTGTACATAATTAAACAGGTACCTGAGCCAGAACTAGTACCTGGGACTATAAGAGAACAGATTTCGGGACCTGAGAATCTAATGGATCAACCTAACTAAGCTGTACCTTACACATGTGGTCCCATGTGTGGGACCAATTACAATTCCCAAATTGAATGACCTGATTTGGGATGAGAAGTGCTCAAATCTGAGGTTCCCAAACTACTGATGGATAACCTGTGTGACTCTTACAGGTAAAAGAGTTGTATACTCATAATCTAGCAAACAAAGTCTGTCTAAGATTCAATATTCACACTCCTATTTAGACTCAGATTTTGAGTTTTCACAGATGTAACTACTGAGTCCATGGCCTTTGATTATCAAATCACAGAAAGGACACACCATCCTTGCTTTCAACAGGGGAAGATTTATGCTGCATAGTCCTCAATGTGTGCAAATGAATTGTTCCACATGTCACAAAGAAAGAGATTTTATTATTTCTGAAGTAGCCTTTGCTCAGATTTCAGATAAAAAGTTCAAAAGATCACCCTTTACCTCAGCTTGGTCTATTTTAAGTAAAGCTTCTGTTCTGATGGTAAGAGATCATTGAGTTCATATAGATGTGCAGAAACTAGTAAGGTGTCTTAATATTGCTAGCATTTGGGATATGGTTTCTATTCTGAACAGAAATACCTAATGCCAATACTGTATATAACATGAAACAAAATAAGTTTCTGAATAAAGGTACAAAGTGTGAAGAATACCATTCTGGCATAAAATTCCATCCACCAATATTCTGAATCTGGAATTTGCTTGGCCTTATTTCAGCTACAGGAGGACAATCCTACCTCTCTCTCTCTATCTCCAAGGAAAGCCTCTTCAAATCAATGTCTCTTAAATCCATCTTTACAAATCCTTTGTCACCACTGGTATCCCTTGTGTCAGCAGGCGGAGAGGAAGTACACTTGACAGTATGCTAGAAAAGACCACAAAAACAAAAAGTTATGATATTGGATCCTATGTTGCTTAGGAATAGGTCTTGAACATGTGGGATTGTGCTATGCAATTGTGAATTGATACAGAAAATGTTACAGAAAAAAACACACCACTGGGTGGCATAATTACAGACCAGCACAGATCTGACTGGATAGGCTCAGTGGTGGGATTCAAATACGTGAACAACCATTTCTCTGTATGGATGCCGCTTCCGGAAGTCCATTCTGGGCCTGGGCAACAAAAAATTAGCTACTGGTTCTGCCGAAGTGGTGCGAACCGGCTGAATCCCACCACTGGATAGGCTCTAATAGAAATAGACTCCTGGGTTTGCCTCAGGCTTTGCCTACCCTGAAGGCATCAATTACAAACACAATGTAATGGGACCTACCATTTTATCCTTCTGTGTTTGGCAACTGTTCAATTATTTCCCTTTTTTTATATATATATATTCAAATTTTTATTAATTTTCAAATAAACAAACAAATTACAGATATGGTATACATTAATAAAAAAACCCTAAATTATATATCTATTCAGAGATGCTCAGCAGCCCCCCCGCCTGCGTCCATCCTCTCTTTCAATTATTTCCCTTTTTTAATAGAAGAGAATACCTAGCTAAAAAATGAACTATGTAGTTCTTGGTTCTCTCTAAACTTGCTTGTCTGCTTGCAAATATTTCATCACCCAACTAACTAAAACATTGCCAGTAACATCAATACCAATGATATTACTTAGTTGGATAATAAAATGTCTGCAAGCAAACAACCAAACTCAGAGAGCACTAAGCACTCCACATTTTCCTCTTTAATCAGTCCTTGAAAGATGTCCCATAATTCTAGCTTTAAAAGATGTTTTGATACTTTTAATGGAATACTACAATCCCCATGATTCCTTTCTTTCCAGTCAACTTTAGTAGATGGAAAGAGAGTCTATCTATTGCAGGTTTAAGGATAAATTCAATTAAATCACTGTTGTTATTCTATCTCTGAAGCAATCATATATTAAAAAGAAAAACTTACAGGAGGAGAGTTAAATTTGCTGACATCTTGAAGCTTTTGCTTTACTTTCTCTTCAGCTTCTCTGGCTTCCTGTAGGTCCTGTTTTAAATGTTCAGCTTCTTTGATCCTACCAAGCCAAATTATCATCATAAGCAAATCAATCCATATTTCTCAAAGACAGTCCTTAACTAATGCCCTGAAAGCACAATAGGCTTCAATCAATTTTGTTAATAGATGGGATATGTGGGGCTGCCTTATGGCTCAAAAGCAAAACCTGAAACAATCCGTGGTATCAGGTAACCATGGTAACTGATAAGCCTCAGTTTATTAAAGCTCTCACCATTTTAATTCCTGATTTTTTTCCATACGCAGAAAGATTACAATCATAATCATTAAGAGAATAATTGGGAGATTAGTAGAAGAGGTAATTATTTTCTGTTTCCACATTCCTGTGCAATTTAAAAACTATTCAAAATGTGTGGATTTAAATACTGTTGTTTAAATTTTAATTTGTATTTAAATACAGTTTAATGATAACTACAATTAAAAACAATTATAAGTTCTTTAAATATAATTTTAAAATTACTTTTTTATATAAATATGCACTTTTGCTGTTTACATTGCCAAGAATCCCTCTAACATTCAGGAACCAGAATGCCAGCAGGATACAGTCCAAAAAATCAAGATGCATCACAAATAAAAAAACTGATTCTTGGTGATTTCACAAACACATCCATGGAGTTTTCTGCAGCAAGCGAGAAGTGGTTTGCCTCTGCTTTCTCCCACAAAGTTTTATTTCATTTTACTGTCTGTTAAATTCCAAGGATTGGTCTTTTATCTTAACCCCAGCCCTTCATCTTCCAGGCCTGACTTTCTTTCTTGTGATCCCATCAGAACATAACAAAGACCTGAAACCCAGAACTTAGCTTTTATGCCTATGATAGTTCATGAGAGTCATATTACATTTTTTCTAACTTGTACTTGGGACTAATTAACTCCAGTGCTGTGGGCAACCTGCAGAAATGCAGGTCCTCAACATATAACCATAATGGAACTTGCCCATTATAGTCATATGTCATGACAGTCATAAAAATGGTTCATTCATGTGACTGACCTAATTTTATGACCTTTTTGGCAGTGGTTGTTAGGCAAATGCCACAGCCATAAAGCAAATACTGTGGTTGTTAAGCAAATCAATTTTTTGCTATGGCACGGTTTTGCTAAAAACTGGGAGTGATACAGTCAGAACACTGTAAATGGCCAAACATGTGACCTTGTTTAGTGCAGTCACAGGACCGCAGGAGGCTGACTGTTGGAGCTTCGGAACATCCCTTTTTCCAGGTAGGCTGTAACTTCAAATGGTTGGCAGGCGAACCAGTCATAAGCCAAGGACTTCCTGTATACCTGTTTTCATCAAAAACATCTGAGGGAGCATATGCAGAATGACCAACTAAGTTTCTAGTACAGAGTGTCACCTTCGATCGGATTCCTTCACCAGCTTCATGGCAATCAGCTCGGCCTCCCTTATCTTGTGCTCCATCAGTCGCTTCTCCTCGCTGGTTTTCAAGGCCGCCAACTCTAATCGATGGCGCTCCTGCTCTGCTTCGGCAGCGTTCTGAGCCAACAGCTTGGCTTCCTCCTCGGCTATCTGAGCTTTCTCAGCCAATAACTCTGCTGCTGCCTCTGAACGGTGCTGGAGAAGAATTTAAAAACAAGCACCTCATATGGTAAGCTGCCCAGAGGCTCTCTGGATAGTGAGATGGTGGCATATAAATTTTAAAAAATAAAATAAAATGAAATAAAATAATAACATGAAATGAAATGAAATAAAATAAAAAGTTTTAAGTTTGTACAAAATGGACAATGGACCAGAAGCCCTTGGAGCACCTACCACTAGGCTTCATTACTAGAGCAATGCTCACCAGAGCCTCATTAGCTTGCCGAGCTTCATCTTCCACCTCAAAGAGGCGTCGTTCCAGTTCTTCTTTGGCTCGCTCGGCTTCCTCCCGCAGCTGCTTCTCCCTGGCCAGCCTCTGATGCTCCATCTGAGGAATGAGCAAGGTTGGACATGTGCAAGAACTGCATAGCGCAATGCAGCCAGGCTCACCTTGTTCTGGTTTTTCCATTCCTCCTTTTACAATACATACTTTTCAACTGTAACCTCCCAGGGGATGGGACCTATCCTTTGTCTTGCAAATAAATCTGCCAAAAATTAACTGCAGGTTTAAGTTATTGATTTTATATTTATTTATAATGTGGGTGTGTTTTTTTTTACTGTCCAGGAATACTTCTCTGGAGTTTGCGAACCTGCACAGCAAACTGCATAGCAGATACAATAAAAAAAATCAGAAATAAGAGAAGAAGAGCCATTCCTTTTCCGTTCCTGATTTTTTTAAAAAAGAAAACCCATGTATTAAACTTCCCACAGTTATTTACAAAGAGGGACTCAAAATAGATCAAAATCTACTTTTCTTTTAAAAAGGTACTTACCTCAAGAAAAATGTATATCGCTGCCCTTTCAGATTCTCTTCACTAGGTTTAAACAGTTTATTATAATGCTTTTATTGAATATTTATGTATGTTTGGGCCACACATGGAAGTTAGCACTATAACAGGTACAGACTCCAAAGGATAGTTAGGATTGCAGAAAAAATAATTCTAACCAGCCTACCCACAATATAGAAGACCTGTATATTGTGTCGGTCAAAAGGAGGGCTGAGAAAATAACTACAGACCCCTCACATTCTGGATATAAACTATTTCAACTCCTCCCCTCGGGACGCCGTTATAGGGTACTACATACCAAAACAACTAGAGATAGGGACAGTTTTTTTCCCTTGTGTCATCCCTTTGCTGAACACCTAATCCTCACAATATTGTTTTATATTTAAATACTCTATATTCCCCCATGCTGTATGGCTGTAGAACTATTATTATCCTTCTCATCTCTCTACTACCCCCTTTTATTGGCATCATCATCATTATTCTCTTGCTTTGCATGTACACTGAGAGCTTCTGCATCAAAGACAAATTCCTTGTGTGTCTAATCACACTTGACCAAATAAAATATTCTATTCTAGTCAATGTCCCAAGTACGTTGTCCACTTTAACTTTTGTGTGAGACTGATACCCAATATAATGTTGCAAAAATCATTAGAATGATAATGATAATGATATGTATCTGATCATTGTTTGCCACACAGGCAGCTTGGAAGTGAGTTCAAAGTTTGTGAAATCCTTTAGCATTTGAACCAGCTCTAAGAGTCACCTTCTTTCTTGCTTTCTCCTCTCTGGCTTGAGCTTTCATCTGCTGGATCTCAATGGGATCCACTCGCCTCCTTCTCATGAACAAGTCGTGGTTTCCAATGAAGAGTTGCATGATCTGCAAGAAAGAAGAAAAGAAAAAATGTCTTCCTGGAGTTATCCAACAGGGTTAAAAAAACAGGGTATTATAGGAATGCCATCCAATTCTGGTAATCCTTATTATTTCCTGAATGCCCTTAAAAAGTCAATTGATAACCTCCATATCTGTACTTGGCTTGGACCTGACATTACCTAGAAGACTGTTTTCATTTAAGAATGTTATAATGGAGAGATACACATATATGTTTCTAAGTTGATACGTTTCTAGGTTGATAAAGGAACATACAGAACTTGGATATAGCTCAGCACTACCCAAAAGATAAATAATAAATTAATCTAAAACAGAATACTGATCTTGGTAACTGACAAGAGATTTTAAGGGACAACGGGCATAATTATGCTGTAAAGATTAAGCCCCAAATGAGAGAATTAAAAGTCAAGACTTCACTGGTATCAAAACCAGATAAAATCACCATCAGCTTGGCCTCCAGGGAAAAGGCATTCCAGAAGGGGGTCCACAAGAAAGAAAGGTAGAAATGTGCATTTTCTATCACTGTCCCCTCCTTTGGGATTCCCTGGACTTCCAAATGGATCTTTCCCTTTGATGTTTAGAAAGTTTCAAAAGATTTGGCTATTCCAACATACCCTAGGAATTGAGGAGAATGGTTGGTTCTATTTTGCTTGACTATTATATATTCCCAGTCCTGTGCATTTGATTTTATGGATGTTATAGATTTTGCATTTTTGTTTTCATTTTTAATCAGGGTAACAGAGACAGGAACTGTATACTGCTCAAAAACAGTTCTGACTGGAGTAGTCTACAAACCCTGTAAGATAAATAAATCCTCACCTAGCTTGGCTCTCCTAGCTATGGGAAGTGGAGCAAGTCTTACCCTGCATATCTAAATGTCTAGATAGGTATATACTGTAAAAAAAAAAACATGGCCTCATTTGCTTCCTCACAATCATTTATGGCTTTAATCATTTTCACTAAAAATCAAACCATTCAGCAATGTCTAGGTGCAATTCAGTCCCACATGATTTCTGTTCCAACCGAGCATAGATTGGTATGGTGAGGCCACTGTCTTTGGCCATGATTATAATGGAACAGGTTTATAATAGGACAAAAGTGAGAGAGAAAGAAGAGAATCACACTCCCACCAACACTGGCAAAGCAAGCTACTATATAAAAACGGAGAAAACCCCACATTCACTCACACTGATGTTATCTAGTCAGGTAATGAACAGTCTACATGAAGACAATCAACTGAGAGAGCACCAAGGACTGAACAAATAGTCTTCTATATAGGAAAGACTCACCAGTTTATTGACTTTAGGTTGTGAGGAGAAGAACTTGAAAACCTCAGCTTTCTTGTCAATAGGCTTAATTGTAAGCTGAAAGAAAAAGGAGGGTGTTTTTTTTTAATTTATACACTAAATGCAATTTAGGAAACTTGCTTCCAACTGGAGATTGTGTCCACTTTTTTTCCTTCCATTATTATTATGCTATCTATTGGTCCTTATTGTTACCCTATAGTTTACTTGTGTTGCTTTCAAACTTAGACTTCAGGAAGGCATTTTATAAAGTAGACTAGTTCATAAACCGGAACAAGGTGGGATGGGTGTTCCCAGTGAGAGATTCACAGTTGAACAACTGTAGCCAACATGAGAGAGGTATGTAGTGGGGTATCTCAGGGATCAGGCCTACTGTAGTTTGGAGATTGGAACTGAATAAAAAGCATATAATACATCACCACCATACATCCATTTTATCAAGTATGGCCCTGAAATTCTAGGTAATTTCAGGAAATATGTAGGTTGAAGTGGGCTCTGGATTGGTGCCCCCTCCCTTGCTTTCTCTGACTTCCCAGCCCCAGTTTATCCTGCCAGGAAAATTTGTATTTTTAAAATCAGTTTAGTTAACACTTATATAACTCTCTCGTTTTAGTACATTAGCTTCTCTGAAATCCTTAATTATTTTAAGAAAGAAATCATAATGTATTTTCAGGAAAAGTAGATTCTATTAGATCGCTAATTTTTATTGCATTTTGCTACATATTTATGAAAAACATAAAACCATTTTTCTATTATGTCTATTTTTTATTATTTTGTTAAAATGGTTGTTTTTAATGCTATAGAACTTCATACTTTCCCTAGAATACATATCTTACATGTGGTTCTTAATTTTGGCCTGAACAGTGTAAATATTCTTAGTTCTTATTTTTTAAGGGACCAAAATTTATAAATCATAAAAACGCAATATATGTTAACAGATTAATAGATATTAATAGCTATAAATAGATGATCAGGGCATAATATATAAAGCCATCTAAGGTCCTCCTAGTTAGGATCATTGTCATTAGGTGTTTCCCCATGTCAACTTAGAAGTATCAAATTAGGCAGTAAATTGTCTTTTTAAAAAATACACAATTTTATTAGCTCAAAAGCAATTAAGCTACTTTACTGACCTAGTCTCTTTCCAGTAGATCTACCACTCATCTCAAAGCAAAATTCCCACAGCACACCCACCTACCTCTTTGTCAGAATAAGAAATGTTTTGGATGCTGCTCCACTCAAAAGACTTATTTGGAGAGAACCGGTTATTGATGCTGTAGACATGAATCCCTTTGGCATCTACCCCAAGCAGGAAGTCTGTATGATTCTTCTTTTGCTACAGAGAAGTCCAAGGTGAAAATCAATGTATTCATCTTGTGCACTGACTAGCATTGATGGTATTACTAGTTTGGGTAATGAAACGTCTGCAAGAAAACAACAACCTACCTCAGAGAGCACCAAGGGCCCCTCATTTCAACCCAGGGCTACAACTATTCTCCTTTATTGGTTAATATATTCATCCTCTGACATCAACCAATTACAACTTAATTTGGCCTAACATGCACATTTCACTGTTTCAGATTCATGGCACAGGTAGTCCTCGACTTATGATTACAACAGGGACCAGAATTTCTGCTGCTAAACAAAGTGGTTGTTAAATGAGTCACACCCAATTTTATGACCTTGTTTGCC